TGCCGCCCTGGGTCCCCCGCCCGCCCTGCAGGTCCGCAGTCCTGCCGCCCTGGGTCCCCCGCCCGCCCTGCAGGTCCGCAGTCCTGCCTCCCTGGGTCCCCCGCCCGCCCTGCAGGTCCGCAGTCCTGCCTCCCTGGGTCCCCCGCCCGCCCTGCAGTCCGCAGTCCTGCCTCCCTGGGTCCCCCGCCCGCCCTGCAGGTCCGCAGTCCTGCCTCCCTGGGTCCCCCGCCCGCCCTGCAGGTCCGCAGTCCTGCCTCCCTGGTCCCCCGCCCGCCCTGCAGGTCCGCAGTCCTGCCGCCCTGGGATCCCCCGCCCGCCCTGCAGGTCCGCAGTCCTGCCTCCCTGGGTCCCCCGCCCGCCCTGCAGGTCCGCAGTCCTGCCTCCCTGGGTCCCCCGCCCGCCCTGCAGGTCCGCAGTCCTGCCGCCCTGGGTCCCCCGCCCGCTCTGCAGGTCCGCAGTCCTGCCGCCCTGGGTCCCCCGCCCGCCCTGCAGGTCCGCAGTCCTGCCTCCCTGGGTCCCCCGCCCGCCCTGCAGGTCCGCAGTCCTGCCTCCCTGGGTCCCCCGCCCGCCCTGCAGGTCCGCAGTCCTGCCGCCCTGGGTCCCCCCGCCCGCCCTGCAGGTCCGCAGTCCTGCCGCCCTGGGTCCCCCGCCCGCCCTGCAGGTCCGCAGTCCTGCCGCCCTGGGTCCCCCGCCCGCCCTGCAGGTCCGCAGTCCTGCCGCCCTGGGTCCCCCGCCCGCCCTGCAGGTCCGCAGTCCTGCCGCCCTGGGTCCCCCGCCCGCCCTGCAGGTCCGCAGTCCTGCCGCCCTGGGTCCCCAGCCCGCCCTGCAGGTCCGCAGTCCTGCCTCCCTGGGTCCCCCGCCCGCCCTGCAGGTCCGCAGTCCTGCCGCCCTGGGTCCCCCGCCCGCCCTGCAGGTCCGCAGTCCTGCCTCCCTGGGTCCCCAGCCCGCCCTGCAGGTCCGCAGTCCTGCCGCCCTGGGTCCCCCGCCCGCCCTGCAGGTCCGCAGTCCTGCCTCCCTGGGTCCCCAGCCCGCCCTGCAGGTCCGCAGTCCTGCCTCCCTGGGTCCCCCCCCGCCCGCCCTGCAGGTCCGCAGTCCTGCCTCCTTGGGTCCCCCGCCCGCCCTGCAGGTCCGCAGTCCTGCCGCCCTGGGTCCCCCGCCCGCCCTGCAGGTCCGCAGTCCTGCCTCCCTGGGTCCACCGCCCGCCCTGCAGGTCCGCAGTCCTGCCGCCCTGGGTCCCCCGCCCGCCCTGCAGGTCCGCAGTCCTGCCTCCCTGGGTCCCCCGCCACGCCCCCACCGGTCGACCCCAACAACCACGCCTACATTGTTATTGTCGATTAAAACTGCATGAAAACGCTTAAAGGAGACAATTAACACAATTAGTAATGTAATTATAAGTGGTTACAATACCACTCATGATATCAGGACATGATATCAATCACCAGAACCTCTTGGAGCACTTGCATTGGAGCCTCCATTAGGAGGCCGTGACTGTTGGTGGTTTAGTGAAGATATCAACCACAGGTTAACTGTTATTATGATATCCAATCATTGCTCTCCGCGTGGCAGACGTTGTCTTCTTCTCTTATCTTGAGGTTATCTTGAGATGATTTCGGGGCTTTAGTGTCCCCGCGGCCCGGTCCTCGACCAGGCCTCCACCCCCAGGAAGTAGCCCGTGACAGCTGACTAACACCCAGGTACTTATTTTACTGCTAGGTAACAGGGGCATAGGGTGAAAGAAACTCTGCCCATTGTTTCTCGCCGGCGCCTGGGATCGAACCCAAGACCACAGGATCACAAGTCCAGCGTGCTGTCCGCTCGGCCGACCGGCTCCCATCTGGGAACTATTACACGCGGTGTTGCCTAGTGTTGCAACTGTGACACTCAACAAACGAAGCAACTCAACATACGAAGCAACTCAACAAACGAAGCAACTCAACAAACGAAGCAACTCAACATACGAAGCAACTCAACAAACGAAGCAACTCAACAAACGAAGCAACTCAACAAACGAAGCAACTCAACAAACGAAGCAACTCAACAAACGAAGCAACTCAACAAACGAAGCAACTCAACACACGAAGCAACTCAACAAACGAAGCAACTCAACAAACGAAGCAACTCAACAAACGAAGCAACTCAACAAACGAAGCAACTCAACAAACGAAGCAACTCAACACACGAAGCAACTCAACACACGAAGCAACTCAACACACGAAGCAACTCAACAAACGAAGCAACTCAACACACGAAGCAACTCAACATACGCAACACTCCTCCCTGACACTGGACAACTGTCACCAGACACGAAGCAACTCAACATACGCAACACTCCTCTCTGACACTGTCACCAGACACGAAGCAACTCAACATACGCAACACTCTTCCCTGACACTGGAATTATCCCGATAATTATACAGAATAATTTGTGTTGTTGTGTGAGTGTTGTCCGGGGACGTCTCGCAACACTGCTCAACTGCGCTTACACCTTTGTCAAGTTGCT